CCCACTTCCCCCCTATGGGCGTTTTCCCAATTTTCCATTCGTATTATCGCCTATATCTCGGAGACTATAAGACCTAGGGACACCAAAATTTTAGTCCCAGGTGCCTTATATGAATACGCAGAAAATGTGTATTTTGGAATTTCCCTCTCTCCCCCCTCTCCATCACAAATCATAACTCCCGTAATTCTTAGAATTTCGAACTTGGCAAATACCTCCATTTAGTTATTATAAGTCCAAATGTCAAGTTTCATCATGATAGGCCGATTTAACAGCAAGTTATAGCCATATATGTACATAAGACCAAGTAGTGCCCGCAGCTGTTGTTGTTGTTACTGCTTTGCTCAGGCACACGAGACATACACAGACACACACAAATACACACATACACGCATAATTATTCTTGGCGGAGACTTCAACGCATGGGCAGTTGAGTGGGGCAGCAACACCACTAACGCGAGAGGCCGAACTCTACTGGAAGCTTTCTCAGTATTGGATCTGACGCTGCTGAATACCGGGTCACAGCACACATTCAGCAGGGCAGGCAGCGGATCCATAATTGACCTGTCGTATGCTAGTAGCTCCCTCCACAGTCAGATCATGTGGTCCATTAGCGACGCTTATACGGCAAGCGACCATGTGGCCATCACAATCACAGTCGGAGCAACCTCCCGCAACATGCTGAATCCACCGTCCGCCAACGTGGCATACAAGCTGGATTCCTTCCGTCCAGCATCCTTCGCAAGCGCCCTCAGCGGCTTCCGACTCTCCGGTGATCCAGAAGTTATGGCTATGGACGCCGTGGCCCAAATCCGCGCGGCATGCGACGCCAGCATGGACAGACGTGGCCCTTATAGGCGCCACCACGTACCAGCTTACTGGTGGACCAACGAAATCGCGGAACTGCGAAGCTCTTGTATCAGGGCAAGAAGAATGGCGCAGAGAGCTCGCGGCACATCCTCGTCGCCCCTCAGACAGGATGCCTATCGGGAGTCTAGGCGATCTCTGAAAAGGGCGATAGCAGCAAGCAAGAGGCGATGCTTTTTCGAGATGTGCGACTCAGCCGAGCACGACCCCTGGGGGAAAGCATATAAGCTCATTGTGAAGCGAATCTACGCTGGCGGACGCAATGCTCCCATGGATGCTGAGAAACTCTCACGAATCGTTAATACCCTATTCCCCTCGAGACCTGAGTCGCCTGCGATGATCCCTACCAGAAACGAGTTATCGCCTGCCTTAGGCGACGTCACCACTGAGGAAGTGCTGCTGGCTGCTCGTAGCTTGCAGCTCAACAAAGCGCCGGGCCCGGATTCTATACCGAACCGCGCACTCAAACTGGCACTTTGTATGCACCCTGGGGCGTTCGCTACTCTGTTCGGAAGGTGTATCAGGGAAGGCATATTCCCTGCCTGCTGGAAGGTGCAGAACCTGGTTCTACTGCCGAAACCGGGAAAACCACTCGAAGACCCCTCATCCTACAGGCCGATTTGTCTCCTGGACTCGATCGGTAAGGTGCTGGAGAGACTGCTTTGCTCGAGGCTTGAAACAGCAATCGGTCTATCCCCCAATCAGTACGGGTTCCGGAAATCGAGGTCCACCATAGACGCGATCAGTAGAGTGGTGGATCTTGCGTCGAAGGCAATATCAGGTAGCAGATGGAAGGGAGGTGCCAAAGAATACTGCCTGGTGGTGACCCTCGACGTCAAAAATGCATTCAACTCGGCAGACTGGGGATGCATTCTCAACGCACTGGTGGATCAAGGCGTACCCACGTGCCTGGTGCGCTCCATTAGAAGTTACCTTAGCGATCGGATACTTAGGTTTCACACATTGTCTGGCACCAAATCCCTCAATGTTGTTGCTGGCGTCCCCCAAGGGTCGGTCCTAGGGCCGCTGCTCTGGAACGTCATGTACGACGGCATTCTCCGCCTCCAACTCCCACCCGGTACGGAGCTAGTGGGGTACGCAGATGACGTCGCAATTGTAGGCGTTGCGAAAGACATCAAAACCGTGGAAGACGCGTGCAACCGCTGCATCCGGACGATCATTGACTGGCTGAACACCGTGGGCCTGGAACTAGCGGCGGGCAAAACAGAGGCAGTGCTAATCAGCAGCCGCAAGGCGGTAGAGCAAGCGCACATATCAATTGACGGTACTCTCGTGCGGTCCAAACGTTCAATTAACTACCTTGGGGTTAGATTGGATACGAGATTGTGCTTTCGTGAGCATCTGGAGCAGACGAATAATAAAGCTGCAGAGGCCACACGGGCGCTAGCCCGAATTATGGCCAACACTCGGGGCCCAAAGCAAGGTCGGAGGTTATTGCTTATGAGCGTAACCAGATCAATAATGCTGTACGCGGCACCGATATGGGCTGCCGCGGTGAACAAGAGGAGCTACATCCGCGACCTCGCTGCTACATACCGTCTTGGCGCTCTCCGTGTCTGTAGTGGATTCAGGACGGTTTCTGACGATGCCGTACTGGTGATCTCGGGGATGGCACCTATCGACCTCCTCGTCCTGGAAGCGAGCTACCTTCACAGTTTTGCTGCCGGGCGGCCTCGAAGGGACGCGCGGGCGGCGGCTAGACGTACGACGGTAAGCAAGTGGCAAGAGCGATGGGATGCCTCGTCAAAAGGCAGGTGGACCCACACGCTAATCACTAACGTAGCATCGTGGATCGGCAGAACACATGGCAAGGTCGACTTCCACCTGACCCAACTTCTGAGCGGCCACGGATGCTTCAGAAGTTATCTTCATAGATTTGGGCACGACTCCAGTGCGGAATGCCCGGCCTGCAGAGGGATACCGGAAGATGCTAACCACGTAGCCTTCCATTGCCCAAGGTTTGGGGCGGACAGAAGGAGACTGGAGGCGACAACCGGATCACCCCCAACGGCGTCGAACTTTGTGGCCAACATGCTCGCTAACGAAGAGTCGTGGGCTGCGAGCGCAAACTTTGCGGCCTCCGTTATGGGCAAGCTCAGGAAACAGGAGCGGGACAGGAGCGCGATATAAGCGGGTTGATCGGCCGGGCGAAGCAATGCCTAACGGCCGTACCGCCTGGACTTTGACCTGCGTATATCATTATTATTATTACTTTTACTTTTACTATTATTATTATTACTACTATTGTTATTTCTATCTATTCTATATTGTTATTTTTCCACTCTTTGTCAGTTTATATAAAGAATACCAAAAAAAAAAAAAAAAAACGCATAATTATTCTACCCCACTTTAGCCTCTCTACTTGTTAAAAGTAATTTTTTCTTTGTTTAGTACATTTGTCATTAGGGTTTTCATTAGTAACTTTATGCAGCAACAACAAATTACACAGAGCGCAATTAGTTGGGGACATCAAATACACACACTCACACACAGAACAAGCAACAGTTCGTGTCTATGTGTGCGGTTCTCTACGTACGGTTGAAAAAGTAAAGAGAAACATACATATGTATGTATGTACTATATGTATGCCTGTGTATGAATATAGCATGTATGTACATTCGTATTAATGTATACATTGGGCAATCGAACACAGTTGTTTGATTGTATAAAAAAATAATGCTCTAAAAACAACAACAACTGCAAGTCATTGGCTCGCTCTTCTTCTTTCGTTTTGACCATTTAATGTTAATTGCAAAGGCAAAACGCCAAAAGTTTACAGTTACCGTCGCTAGGCAACGACTGCGTAAGCGATAGTAAAGCAGAAACCGAATAACGGAGCTACGCATATTCTGCTTCGCATTGCGGGCAGATGTATGTATGTATATGATTTGTTCTTATTGATCTCAATACATACATAAGACCAAGTAGTGCCCGCAGCTGTTGTTGTTGTTACTGCTTTGCTCAGGCACACGAGACATACACAGACACACACAAATACACACATACACGCATAATTATTCTACCCCACTTTAGCCTCTCTACTTGTTACAAGTAATTTTTTCTTTGTTTAGTACATTTGTCATTAGGGTTTTCATTAGTAACTTTATGCAGCAACAACAAATTACACAGAGCGCAATTAGTTGGGGACATCATATACACACACTCACACACAGAACACGCAACAGTTCGTGTCTATGTGTATGTATGTATGTATACATTGGACAATCGAGCACTGTTGTTTGATTGTAATAAATAATGTTCTATGGTTTTAAATCAAATTTTTAAAACTAAAAACAACAACAACTGCAAGTCATTAGCTCGCGCTTCTTCTTTCGTTTTGATCATTTACGCCTGTTAATTTCAAAGGCAAAACGCCAAAAGTTTACAGTTACCGTCGCTAGGCAACAACTGCGTAAGCGATAGTAAAGCAGAAACCGAAAGCGAACCTACGCATATTCTGCTTCGCGTTGCAGGCAGATGTACATATGTATGTTTGTATATGATTTGTTCTAATTGATCTCAATAAATTATAAGATGTTATGATTTAAATTTTCTGTTAATTGCATTCAAACTTCGATGGAATTATTAATTGTATCGACGGATTCAACTATCGATAGTTTTGATGCTCTAGCACATAGAGCATCCGACACATGCCCATCTCTAGCATCTCAGCTGATCGCATATTTACAGCGACTTACCGTTTTAGCTAGCAACGCTACAAATGTATTCTGAACAAAACTAAGTGTCATTTACCGTTAAGCCTTTTTTGTGAGTGTATTCATGCGATTTACAAAAGCAGAAACACACTTTTTACATTCACAACAATCATATTTGGAATTGAAGACACTATAACTAATTATTGTGGCAAGCAAAAATTTTCTAAAAACAATTTAGGTCAGCTTTGTCCAATGCAAAATAATAATTATAAATTTAAATTCAAGAGAGTCTATAAAAGATTGACCATGAGGTCATACGAATTACAAAATTTATTTTATGTTATCCAAAGCGCTTAATAGCCTTTGTATTTTATTTTTCTATTAGCCCAGAAAAGACGGGCAAGATTGCTAGTATTTATATATACCTGAATATATTAAATGACGAAGATTTTTTTTTAGCATGGCAATTTGGGAAATGACGTCACACACATAATCAACTGTGTTTCCTATAATGTTGAGGGATGTGCAACTAACCAAAAAAATGAAAAGGGGTAAGTTCATCATTGTTTAACTATATTAGGTTTGTGCAATGTATGTAACAGGCAAAAGAAGTATTTACGACCCCATAATGTATACATATTCATAATCAGCAAGACAAATCGATTTAGTCATTTCCGAACGGCTGTCTGGATGAACGCCTAGATTTCAGAAACGGCTTTTTTTTTTAAATTTGTATACCCTGTACTTAAAGGGTGACAAGTCGAGTCGATATAGCCATGTCCGTCTGTCCGTCCGTCTGTATGAGCGCAAAGATCTCAGAAGCTAGAATTACCAAACTTGGTATTCAGGTTCCCTTAAGCCCTAAGCGGGTCAAGTTTCTATTTTATTCTGACACCTATTTTTTTTAATTTTTTTTTTTCGTATGTAAGAGTATTTAAGGATATTTAAGAGTTAAGCCCGCTCGATTTTAGCATTCCTTTCTTGTTTTTATTCCTTTTTCCTTCACTTGGGAGCTTTTGGCTTCTACAGGAACTTTCCATCTAACTAAATTTCTAACCGTCTGTCCAGCTGTGTCCTATGTGATGTTGTTCTGGTATAATAATTACTGAACGATGGTCCGCCGCCAGGTTGTCGTCTTAGGTCTGCCGAAGCGTCTGTTTCCTTGGGGGTTCCTCCAGTCTAGCGCCATTCTTACAACGTCACCGAAGAGACGTTTGGATTCATTTTTCTTGTGTTCCGAGGCCCCCGGAAACGACTGTTATTCTTTTGATATTTCCTCGACTGGGATGAGAGACCTGCACTTACTTCTGTGTTTATAAGGCTGCGTTAAAATGGTCCTGTCACTGCACGGTTAATTTGGTCTAGCAAATTACGTGGATCGGTTACTATGTCCATGCTATGGCCTTGCAGGAGAAGCATAGCTTAGCTTGTTACTTGGGTTGGTAACACCATTGAACACTTGCTTTCTCTCAGGATTTAAAAGACGAGAACCCCAATGTGTAAAAACTGCGTACCAAAAGTGCTATAAACCACCATAAACTGCTTTTTTGAGATTGAAAAGCGATGTTTAACTGATGAGAATTAGAATACCAGCTCCACCATGTACGTTACCATCAGGATGATTTACCGTAACACACAAATCATTTAGACTCAAGTATCCTTTCATAGTGTAGGTGTCCACTAAGAAGAGATTTTGGAAAATTCGATTAACTTCAAACTTAGTTTGTATACTCTCCGGAAAAAAAATTCCAAGAAAAACTGTATACTTGTTTTTTTGAAATTTTTTTTGGGGCCTGAAATATGGGAGTTTTCCTGTAAAAAAAAAGTGGGGCACAAAAGGAAACCCCGTCAACCGCCCACAGCCCAAACGGCAAAAGCTATGAAGCTGAAATTTGGGCTCAAGGATCCTATCATAGTGAAGGTGTCCACTAAGGGATTTTGGAAAATTCAAGCTCCAAAGGGGGAAAACGAGCTCCATTTCTGCACCGATCAACTTTAAATTTGACTTTTATAATCTACTAGCAGGTATTGCCTGTCTTAACCCGTTTCAATATTATGTTTCCAATTGTATTTATTTTGTGTGTGCATAACCTACCTATATGTTTTCACCTTATAAGTTACCAGTAGGAAGGCATTTAAGGTATTTAAATGAACATTTTCTGTTCTTGACAAAAAATTGTTCAGTAGTCCGTTACATTTTTGTTCTTCTCAAATTGCTAGAGTAAAACTTTCGATAGTTGAAGCCACCGATAGCATCAAAATATCGAAGTTTGAATGCAATAAGCAGAATATTTAAATAATAAAATCTAATTATTTATTGAGATCAATAAGAACAAATCATATACATACATACATCTGCCCGCAATGCAAAGCAGAATATGCGTAGCTCCGTTATTCGGTTTCTGCTTTACTATCGCTTACGCAGTCGTTGCCTAGCGACGGTAACTGTAAACTTTTGGCGTTTTGCCTTTGCAATTAACATTAAATGGTCAAAACGAAAGAAGAAGAGCGAGCCAATGACTTGCAGTTGTTGTTGTTTTTAGAGCATTATTTTTTTATACAATCAAACAACTGTGTTCGATTGCCCAATGTATACATTAATACGAATGTACATACATGCTATATTCATACACAGGCATACATATAGTACATCTATATATATAAAACAGTTTGTCCTGACTGACTGACTGACTGACTGACTGACTGACTGACTGACTGACTGATTGGCAATCAACGCACAGCCCAAACGGTAAGAGCTAGGAAGCTGAAATTTAGACACAAGATCCCTCTTATAGTGAAAGTGAGCACTAAGAAGGGGTTTCGGAAAATTCGAGCTCCAAAGGGGGGAAAACGAGCTCCAACGTTTGTATGAAAAATCTACAATTTTTATCCGATTAACTTCAAACTTAGTTTGTATACTCTCACAAAGAATACAAAAAAAACTGTATACTTGAATTTTCAATATTTTTCCTGCGGCCTGAATAATAATGATTTTCCGGTGGAAAATTCGGTAAACGAAAAGCTATGTGCAATCAACGCACAGCCCAAACGGTTAGAGCTAGGAGGCTGAAAATTGGACACATGTTGTCTTCAGTGGTGTAGGTGAGCACTAAGAAGCGGTTTTGGAAAATTCGAACGCCAAAGGGGGGAAAACGGGCTCCAACGTTTGTATGAAAAATCTACAATTTTCATCCAATTAACTTTAAACGTAGTTTGTATACTCTCAAAAAGAATACAAGAAAAACTGTATACTTGGTTTTTCACCATTTTTCCTGGGACATGAAAAAGAGGGGGTTTTCCGTGGAAAAATTGAAACACAATCAACACCCCACAGCCCAAACGGTAAAAGCTAGGAAACTGAAAACTGGGCTCAAGTATCCTATCATGGTGTAGATGGGCACTAAGAAGGGATTTTGGAAAATTCGAGCTCCAAAGGGGGGAAAAGTAGCTCCAAAGTTTGTTTGAAAATTCTGCATTTCTGAATCGATCAACTTTAAATTTGGTTTTTATAATCTATATTTTCGAAATTTGTGTTGGAGCTTGAATTATTGGGGTTTTAATATTTATTCATTTTTTCAAATGAAAAGTTTGTGTTATAAATTTTGTCCGATCGATTTCAAATTTGGGTAATATAATCTACGTAACTAAAATTACAACTTTGCATTTAACGATTTTTAAAATATGCATTTTACAAATGCAGGCAGAACAAACAATACAAAATATCAAACAGTTGGGGACAACTAAGTATACATACACACACACATACATATATACAAGCAGCTGTTCGTGTAGTTGCGTGCAAACGGTTGAAGTAGCCAAAGCAAAATGTGAGACACTAATGTGTGAATGTTCATTTGTACACATGTATGTACATACATACATACATATGTACAAAAGTACATTCGTCTTGCACTGACAGAGCAAGAAATGTTAATTAATTAAAAATTATTAACATTATAACATAAACATTTTTATGTTATTTTTTCTTTGTTTAGTACATTTGGCATAAGGGATTTTAGGACAACGGACTACAAGGGCGTACGCAGGTTGGGCAGGGGGGACATTGCTCCCCTTAGAAAGAATTTCGCATTATGAATTACACCAGCACCATATGTATTACATACATATATACATACGTCTGTATGTATAGTATGTACATATGTACATCAATAAGTATGTATGTACGTACATACATTCTTATATACATATATAGGTTTGTATGTATGCAGTGGGCCATCGAACAAATCAAAATTTTTAAAACAACAACAACAAGTTATTGGCTCGCAAAACTTCTTTCGTTTTGATAATTTACGGCTGTTAATTGCATACGAAAAATGCCAAAAGTTTACAGTTACCGTACACACACAAATACATTTGTATGTATGTATGTGTACAGTGAACAATCGAATACAGTATTATAATCAATAACTCTCAAACGATGTTTTTCGATGTATTTGTATTCGACATGTATTACGATATATCAACACAAGTATCGATATTTTCGATATATCGCATTTAATTTTATTATTGGGGTTTTAATATTTATTCACTTTTTCAAATGAATAGTTTGTGTTATAAATTTTGTCCGATCGATTTCAAATTTGGGTAATGTAATCAACATTATATCAACAAATTGGCATTCAACGATTAAAATATAGCAATATGTTTTTTACTTGCCATATATCAAATATCAAATAGTTGGGGACATCACATAAACACACTCACACATACATACAACAAGCAACAGTTCGTGGCTATGTGTGCCCATGCATACATACATATGCATGTATGCCTGTATATGTATGTAGCATGTACATACAAAACAACAACAACAACTTTAAGTTGTTGGCTCGCACATCTTCTTTCGTTTTGACCATTTAATGTTAATTGCAAAGGCAAAACGCCAAAAGTTTACAGTTACCGTCGCTAAGCAACGACTGCGTAAGCGATAGTAAAGCAGAAACCGAATAACGGAGCTACGCATATTCTGCTTCGCATTGCGGGCAGATGTATGTATGTATGATTTGTTCTTATTGATCTCAATAAATAATTAGATTTTATTATTTAAATATTCTGCTTATTGCATTCAAACTTCGATATTTTGATGGTATCGGTGGCTTCAACTATCGAAAGTTTTACTCTAGCAAATTGAGATGAGAATTGTCAGTGCTTTTTGATCGTGGCTCATCGCTGCACGGCATTGACACGAGTGCCGTGTTTCATATTCCGAGTTTGTGCGTGACCGTATTGACTCAATATGACACGAAAAGGCTCAAATGTGAATTTCAAATTAGGATATACCCTTATAATTATTCCCCCTTTTTTGCAAATCGTCTATCTTAAAACGTTGCGTTATCTCTATATATAAAACAGTTTGTCCTGACTAATTGGTGATCAACGCACAGCCCAAACGGTAAAAGATGAAATTTGGACTCAAGTATCTTTTCATATTATCCATCATAGTGTAGGAGCACACTAAGAAAGGCTTTTGGAAAATTCTAGCTCCAACGGGGGGAAAACGAGCTTTAAAAAATATTAGTTATAGTGGTCA